TATTACAAGGCACACACCATACCATACAAGGCATACACCATACCATACAAGGCATACACCATACCATACAAGGCATACACCATACCATACAAGGCATACACCATACCATACAAGGCATACACCATACCATACAAGGCATACACCATACCATACAAGGCATACACTATACCATACAAGGCATACACCATACCATACAAGGCATACACCATACCATACAAGGCATACACCATACCATACAAGGCATACACCATACCATACAAGGCATACACCATACCATACAAGGCATACACCATACCATACAAAGCATACACCATACCATACAAGACATACATTATTCTATACAAGGCATACACCATACCATACAAGGCATACACCATTCCATACAAGGCATACATTATTCTATACAAAGCATACATCATTCCACACAAGGCATTAATTATTCCATACAAGACATACATTATTCTGTGTTGTGAAGTAGTTGAGCTAATAATTCAGATTCTTAGGGTTAATATAACGTGTGTGATAGAAGAAAGAAGTTAAATGCATTCAAAAACAAATGTCTGAGAAAAATGATAAAAATTAAATTGGGATAAATTCAAAAGGAGTGAAGAAATAAGGCAAATGTCTAGGCAACCACTAGTATCAACAGTTAAAAGACAGAGAAAAGGTGCTACATTGGACACATCCTGAGAACAAACCAGCAGAGAATCACCAAACAGGCATTAAAACAGGAAATTAAGGGATTAAGGACACCTCCTTAAAGGATACCCAAAAGAAACTATAAAACAAACCAAAAGGCCAAAATGCTGGACTGATTCCATCCATCACATTGAACTGATTGCATAGAATAGAGTGAAATAAAGGAATAGACAAGGAGCCCTATGTGACATATGATGGCAAAACAGAACGATGAATGAATGAGTGTGATGGAAGACAGTAAGAACATTTCGCTATGTTTGGGATGATGAAGAAGTGTGTGGTGCATTGTTTGTTGCTGAAAAAGCGACATTTTATATACAGTAGACAACAAATCAAATTGTTTGGCCATGTAACTAGATTGACATCAGATAGGGCACCATAGAGAGCTGTGCTATACAGATACAGCGGCAACAGACCCAGAGGTTGACCACGCAGAATATAGACCGCAGAATTATAAGAGACACTGAAAAGTACCACATGTGAAGCAAACAGAAGGGCCCGTTCCAGAGATCTCTTCCTTTCTTGACGCCACAAGGCATTCTAGGAGTAGAGAAAAGAAGAAGAAAGAAGAATGTGTCAATCCACTGTTTTCCTCAGTGCATGCTAGAAAGTTACTCTGTTAATCAGTTGTTCTTTATAGTTTATCGTCGACATTGTCATCCTGTTATGTCACATAAGGCTCCTAGTTGATTCCTCCAATCCATTCTATGCAGTCCTTTCCATATCATGGATGGAACTCACTCCAGCACCTTTGTTCTCTGGTTAGTATTGATTATTTCTCCAGAGCTGACAGGCACATATTTACACTTCAATGAATTTTGTATGTAAAAAAAAGTTGGCTATTGTATATGTGAATGTTGGATGTGGGCACGGTTGAATAACCAGGTACTATTGATTCATTGATGCAGCTTGAGGGAGGGCATTTCTAATCTTCTAGTGATACGGGAGAGGGGGGGATGTCACCAGTATTGCGGAACAGAGGGCAGATAGACAAAAAAACACTGCATACACAGAATAGTTACATAGGGGTAGATCCTTAAGGGCAGACCAAGAAGATGTTTAGAGATAATGTACAGGCAGATCTACAGACTTGTTACTTGTTATCTGTATCAAAATCCGAACACATCGGTCCAGCCAATTCCGAAAATGAATTTTCCAATTCAGCAGCCATCTCAATGTCAGCATGCTCAACATACTCAGTAGAAGAACCAGCCCAGATTGGCATGTTTTCTTTCTGTCCCTCTGAACCGGTTTCTGTGCACTTGTCCTCGTTTAATACCCATTCCCTACAGGCAGCTGAATCTACAAACACTTGAAGTCACCGACTAGAAAGAGAAGGTCAGTCATTGGGAAAAAAAGGTGTGGGATAACTGCAGCAATGAATCTCAAGGGCTTGAAATGCTGAAGAAATGCATGCTGTATGCAATATCGCCCTGGGACCACCCCAGGGTCTGCAAATTCACCAGTGCACTTCAATATGTGTACAAGCAAGATTGCAGAACTTGAAGCACCAGGTGTTAGAAGGATATTGACTTTTGCAGATGATGTACAATCTGCAATATAGGCAGGGGGACCAATAGGCTACAGACAGCCAGAGAACTCCAGGCAACTGTAGAGAAAGTGAAATGCAAGAAATGACTTAATGAGTTTGAGGTTATGACAATAATGGACATGGAACAAAGTATGTTGTTCACAATGTTCTAACATGTGATGCTATCAGTGATAGATTATGGACTTGTCATACTAACCATATCAAAATGATGATTGGAGGTGGAGGTAGTAACCGCAGCCTTTCACTGGCTTGAAAATGAACTGTACACACATGTCATAACTGTAACAGACTCACAGAGCATGTTGAGAAAGGTGGAGATCGGTATGCTCCATGAAGAGTGGCAAGCAGTGTTTCAGAGTAGTCAGCATACTTTGGATATTTTCCCCAGGCAATGCCAGTGTGTTAGGAAATGAACAAGCAGTTAGACTGGCTGGTCCTGCACCACTTGGTGGTGAATTGATTCATGACAAGCTGGATGTTGTAAGGGCCCTTTGGGGGTGAGTGAACAGTGAGGAGGAACAGATGGATCATCATGGTACTGCGAGGAGTGACCAGGGGTTCTGGTCGACGATCAGCACTCAAGAGAAAGATCAGGCGAATGCACAATCGGACTGCTGTTGGTACCACTGGAATTGGAGCTGTGCGCTTGCTGTCGTAAATGGGGATGAAGCACTTATTGGAATGTCCCGAGTGCTGTGGTATCGATTCCTAATTAAACGTTAAACATTGTACTGCTTATGGAATTCCAGTGAAATGTGACTAAAAAGCTTAATGAAATGGGGAAGCTAGAAAACGTGCACAAAACAACACAAATAACGTTTCGGCCGGCGGATTTTGTCAAACATGAAGTGACCTACACAAATGTAACAAGGAGGAGAGTATTCAGATCACTAAGGGGTGACATGAGCGTTTAAAAAAGATGTGATGTGGAGTGAATGAAATTTAAAAAAATAAAAAACGGCTAAAAAATATATAGTCGTCAAAGATAAAAAGTAATATTTTTAATATATAATATAATAGTAGGAATACAAGAAATACAAATGTTAAGGATGCATAAATGATACTGATAATAGACAGAATAAAGTAATAATATGAAATAGCAGAAAGGAAAAAAAAAATTGAAATTAAAAATGGGATAATAGTAACACCTTTAAGATGAAGGTATGTTGGATAGTGATGCTACCTGGACTGCTTATGGAGTAAAAGCGCTGAATAAAGGAGCTTGATGTAGTGTCCTGTCTTTTGCTTGTTGCATAGCTTGTCATATTGTGTGTTTCAGTAGTATTTCTTTTATTTCCTCTGCCCATCTCTTTCTTTGTCAGCCTCTTGCCTTGTAAACTGCTGTTTTCATGTAGTTCGCTCTAGCAGCTGACTGTTTTGGTCCCATTCTAAGCAGATGACCAAACCATTTGATTTGTTGATGTTCTGTGGTACTATGCCTACCATTGTTTTCATTTCTTTGTTGGTGACTGTGTTTCTTAGAAGAATATTACACCACACTATATGAGGTTTGGCCACCGGTCGCATGTCTTGTCACCTTTCCTTCCCAGACAACTTCCCCAACATTCTGAAAATAGTCTGGTGACTGTTTCCCAAGAGTCACACTGGCTGGGAAAAACTCATCGTGTCTCAGTCAGGGATTGAACCCAGCCCCTCTGTCTTAACAGGCAGGTGCTCTTTGTTTGGCTCCTATCCTTAGATTTGTCTTGGAGATGCACTGAGGGAAACTGGCTTTATACATTTTGTGTGAAATATATAACCCATTGATATGCTTCTGCCTGAGGTATTGAATGGCTTGTGTTCCAGTGATCACAATAATGATGATTTTCCTAGAGCCATTTTGACCAGAAAATCAATCCGCCTTGGCCAGGGATTGAACCCAGCTCGCTCTCTTAGCAGGCAGGTGCACTAAATAGTATGCCACTGCAGCTCACTGAAACATAAATGGTTCATAAACAACATTATGCCTCCAAAACTTAAACACTTTGACTGCATTTAACTGTTTTGTCATAAACCTTCACTTAGCATTGTTGGACTTCCGTTTCAGTGGCATGTGAATTTTGGTAAATGTGGTAATTTGGGGTGCAATAATCGTCTGCTTCCTTGGCTTGTTGTCTAGTGGGTGTAGCCTAATGGATGATATTACTGACACTCTACGATGACATAGATGTTACGAGTCGACACTGTCTTCATGATATATGACTGTTTATTAACATCTAAACACTTACACAATCTGTCCAGTCCATGTCATATTTAACAGCATTCGAGCAACACATTGTTCAGACACCAATACACTGAATCCTGACACATTCACCCACTGGAGTTCTCCGTCTTCAGTTCAACATCTCCGCATGGGTGACTGTGGTCACTGCATTGGGTTTCTCGCAACTGAGTTGGGTGGACTTTACTTCGATGGATGTTGTAGTCTAGTCGTCATCTTGAAGCAATCACTTTCTCGTCCTCATTCACCCTGAATCATGCACACGCCCTCTCGCTCCAACGGTCAACACATACTGTCTGATCAAACTGTGGTCTGTTCTATATACCCAGTGTTCGTTCCACGTGGCAACATGTGGTCATTCTCCTTGGGTTCCACCTGGTGACCCGTGGTCGTTCTCCTTGGGTTCTACATGGTAACACGTGGTCATTCCCTCCCTTGAGAACCTTGTGTTCTCTGATTAACTGGCTTCTCTTGGTTTTATGGTGACCCTGGGGCTTTCCCCCCAACCTTCTCAATCAGGGTGAAAATATCCCACATTTCATGGGGTCTTTAAGCATAAGCCATTTGCCTCATACTCTGAAGGTCATGGGTTCGTGAGCTTTCGTAGCTTTCTTGGACTGATGTTTGGTTTATGAGTGCAACTTTAGTGGAGATCCCTGTTGATTGTTGTTGGTGATACTGAGTTCATCTTTTGTGCAGTGCTTTTGGCAGGTGGCTAGTCATACATGGGAGAGAGGTATAGATATAGCGATAAAACATGGTGTCATGAGCCGATGTTCTCAACTTTTGACCTTTTATTTATTCTATTTTCAGGAATGCCATTCTACCAGGCTGTCAACATCCTACGCAGCCAGGATTCTTCCATCAAGGGTGTCCAGGTGTGGTACAGTGAACAGGTAAGTACTGACACTGAAGCAAGAAAGACTGCTGCAGCAAAGGATGTGTGTGGGAATGTTTCTAGAAGTCTTCTTATTTTTCTTCTTTGCAACATGCTTTATAGATGAAATATAATTGCTGCATGAAAGATGAGTGTTTCAAAGAGATGAAGATAGGAAGAGCCTGCTTGGCCAGTTTGTGATCTTTTAAACTTAAAGTCTGTTTGTTCATTTATCTTTCTTCTTCGGTACTTATCATGAACCTGCCCTCATGACGTGAGTTCCTTCCCCTCCCATTCATGCTGCGGCATATCGCCTGGCCTGTCCTATGTTGTGGGGGTGTCATGCATTCCTTATTTTCAATAGTTTAACCGCTGTCTCATTTCTCTTGTTGTCACTGCTCACTTGTGTGATTATTTCCTCGTTGTGCTAGTTGCCTGACGGTTCATGAGTTTAGTGTTTTTGGATTTCTACATTCTTTGTCAGTGGTTTCTTTTTCTGTGGGATGCGACCACCAAAGAACATAGAAATACAAAAACATCCCAGTTTCGGGTCTCACAAACAGTCACGCCTTCGGCTATTACTCCTTCCTTCTAGTTTTGTATTATGCTTGTCAGTATTAGATCATGAAGGCAAGTGGAACAAATGAGGAGGACATGGGGTCAGCTGCATATGATAGCAAAGGATAGGACAATCTGGCTTGAATTGGTTGAGGAACCTATGCTCCATTGGGGATAGAGGTCCTAACAAGAAAAAAGAGCAGAAGGAGGAGGAAGAAGATATACAAGAAAACCCTTAAAAAGTTACACTGAAAGGCATTCTGGTCATTATTATGTTGATTCCATCCCCTTACGTCTGCTTGGCTTTCCACACATTTCATATGTACTCCTTCTTTGCATTCACTGGCTGTAAACTATGACAGAAATATTTGGTTGTTCGTGCACCTTCGGACTTCAGACAATGTTCCAGAACCTGAGTGTTAGGTGCAGCAGATCCATTTTACAGATCTGGCTTTACTTAAAGAGAAGAAGGATTATTACAAATTTGTGAAAACAGTTGTACGACAGACCCTTAGACTCATCAAGTATGCGAACAGCAGGTAATGCAGAGTGAGAAGCAACAACGAACTTTATAATCTGTTTAAATCACTATTGATCACAGGTATCATGAGGGCTAATAGACTGACATGGTTGGGGCACATTGAGAGAATGTCGGATGACCAAATGGAAAACTGTGTACACAAGTGAGTTGCATGGTCGCAGAGCCTGAAGCAGACCAAGGAGACAGTGGAGAGATAGTGTAAGACAGACCTGCAAACACTTGGAATCACCAACTACAAAGTGGGGACTAATCATGGAGACAAATGCAGGTGGGTGATATCTGCAGCAGTAAATCTCACGGCTCGGATTGCTGAAAAAGAGGAAGAAAAAGACTACGTTTTAAAACTTTTTTTTTTAAATGATGCAAAGGGCCCCTTAAATTTGGACCACAAGTTAAAGACTGCTTTTAGTCCATTGGTTTGTTTAATTGTTTGTCATTTGTTTTGCTTGTTGACATTTCTGTTTTGTCTGGTCTTTGGTGTGTCTGCTGTTTGCATGTGTGGGCGATCTTTAGATCATTGCTTCAGAACAGCAGATTTCTTGCACTATTGGATTCTTAATTTCTAACATGCTTCTTGCTGCCTCACTAAAGAAAAAAAATTGAGAATTAAAGGTATGATTTCACCCATGCCCACCCACTGTTTGACTTTCCAGACTTGCCAAGTTTGTTGTTTCCATCACAAAAATCTGACCTTTATGCTGCAAGTCTGTTGGTCCATTAAAAAAAAAAATGTCATTTCATTATTCCAACTAATCTTTGCAATATCTGCTATTAGTTTAGATGGGAGATCTTTGGATCCTTGCTGCAGGGTAGTGTATTTCTTATGTACCTTAGCTGTTTGACTCTCAATTTATGACATTTTCTCTCCATTTGCCAAATACTAAATGGTTTTTTTTTTCTGTCACCTGAAATGACACCGGAGGATTAGTAATGGCCACATGTAATTGGATAATGCCAGTTGATGCAGTTTGGTGTGCAATTATTTCATGAATCAACACATCATTCTTATACACATACACAGCAGTCAACAGGGTAAGCAGGCAGAGCTTGTAAAAACTAGTCTTGTCTGTGACTTTTGACATTACCACAGATAACTGCCACGGGGCAAGCTGAAATCTATAGAGCAAATAACATGTGATACTGATGCTTACAAAAGGGATACCCTGGTACTTCACCTCGGGCCTTTTATTTTGAGTCAGATGGTTGTTAGTATTTATGCAAATTGGAAAGTCAACTAATTAGGAATTGAGACTTACGCTTAGGGCATTCCTGCACATTCTTCATCTCCTTAGGTAGTTTAATATTGTAAACTGGAAAGTCAGTTGACTCTTGGTTCATTTACCCATTTGGAGAGAGGGAGAATAAATGCACAAACATGTTGACACATTTGACTAATTAGGGCTGTTTCCTTTGAAGTGGGCATGCTTCTGCCTGTGAGGTGAGCAACCAGCAGTCTGCATACAAATGAGCCAGATCTGGGAGCTCGTAGCGAAAGCCAGTGGAAAATCTTTAGTGCAGGACAGCCTAGCATCCGATACCACAATATCTAGCATGAGAATGGAGGTGGTAACTGCAGCTTTCCGGTGGCTAGAGAAGAAGATGCATACACATATCATAATTGACTCTGAAAGCATGTGCAAAAAAGGTGAAGGCAGGGAAGCTTCGAGCAGAGTAGAAAGGAAGCTTCACTGAAAAGGTCACAGGTAGTGAGCATACTTTGGATCTTTTCTCCAGGCTATGCCGGCATGGTGGGTAAATGAACAGGCAGACAGATTGGCTGGATCTGCACCAGTGGGTGGAGAAGGGATGCATGTCAAGGCCCTTTAGGAACAAGTAATATAGTCAGAAGAGTAACAAGATTATTATGGCATATGAGAGAGTGGTGCACCTGGGTGTAACCAGTGGGTCTGGCTGGCTCACTATACTCAGAGGAAAGCATTATGGACATATAACCAGATTACAGCTGGTACCATTAAGTATTGGAACTCTGTGCTGGCTGCTGAAGATGAGGATGGAGTGCACATGGGAATGCCCTGAGTGCTGTGATGTCAATTCTTGACCCAACTTAACTTAAATCAGACAAGTGCCTGGATAGAAGAAAATCAGACAAGTGCCTGGATAGAAGAAAATCAGACAAGTGCCTGGATAGAAGAAAATCAGACAAGTGCCTGGATAGAAGAAAATCAGACAAGTGCCTGGATAGAAGATAATCAGACAACTGCCTGGCATAGAAGATAATCAGACAACTGCCTGGCACAGAAGATAATCAGACAACTGCCTGGCACAGAAGAAATTCAGACAAGTGCCTGGCATAGAAGATCAGACAAGTGCCTGGCATAGAAGATCAGACAAGAGCCTGGCATAGAAGAAAGCCAGACAAGTGCCTGGCATAGAAGAAAATCAAATAAGTGCCTGGATAGAAGAAAGTTAGATGAGTATACTCTATTTGGTAGAACTACTGGATGTGTGTTGAGTCGTCTATAGCTTCCTTTTTCTAGTAGTATGCAAAGTGAAAATAAAGAAGAAAAAGTTTCTAGAAAAATAAGCTCAGGCATTCATAAGTAGTCATGCTTTGTTGCTAGCTGTTGACCCTAAGATCTTGGTTTTGAATCCACATTGAGTCCGATTTGTTAAAATATGACCTTCTCTGCCAGGTTGACCCAGACTAAAATTAGTACCAGGTTGAGTCCTGGGAAGTAAAGCTACAGACAGGATGTTGACCTAACCGCCCATCCAGAGCTGTGTGGGGTATACACAATTTCAATCTAGCATCATATTCCCGGTGTGCTAATGGGTGGACAGGGTCCTTTACTGGTGTATCAGCTAGAAGGTCAGTTAACCACTCATTTTCTCTCAACAGAACCCTCTACAGGTGGATCTGGTGATCAATCTCTCCCAGGATGGTATCAAGCTCATCTTTGATGCCAGCTCACAGAGGCTGAAGGTACGACTGTTGTATATAATGTTGTTCATCCTCCTTCTTTCATGTTCACTCTTAAAAAGAAGGCCAACAGGTTGTGTTGGGTTTACAGTTATGCTGCGATATCTGGGCCTGTCACCCCAACACATCCAATTTAAGTAAACCTACAATTAGTGGCGGCATCCAGGGCTTAGGCATTGCGAGTCTGTCTCGTAATTCAAACGTACCATGGCCAGGCTGCCTGCATGGATTTTTATCATGGTATGGGGCGTTTCAGGTCGACCCAGCCTAAAATGGGTACCAGGATGGATGTCCTGGGGAGGTAAAGACAGCTGGCATAATGCTGATCACATTACCCACCTAGTGCCGATTGGTCTGTGAAAATATGGGTGCTCTTCCCATATGCCCTATGCGCCTGAGGCGTGAAAAGGGATCTTTACCTTTACTTTTTACAATTCGTTGCCTCTTGTGACCCACTTGTTATGGGGGCAGGGGAGTCTCTTCCTTTTTTCTCCTCAAATAGGGTCCCAGAATCGCTTTGGGAGTAGCTGGTCCATCGCAAATAATAAGGACCAGTCACCGTTCAACGACGTGGCAACATTGGGATTGTACACTTGTGCAAAATGGCTGATGGGGGACACTCTTAACAGTGAATGCTATCATGTGGTGTTGGTGCGGAATTGGGCTGCTTCCCCAATAAATATTTCTGTCTCTTCTAATTTTTAAAAAAATTTTTTTAAATGGCTGCATTTGTAATCGGCTCTTTGTTGAGAAGTTGAGCACCAGGGTGAGTCGTAGATTGGAATGTGTGGGTGCATTGATGGCTAGTAAAGTCTGTCTTGGCCTGGAACATTCTTGGGCCGTGAATGTAGAGGGATTCATTTCTGCAGAATTTTAGGCTGACTCACATGTTGCTGCTCCAGACAGACATATATAGGCACCAGGATGAATGGTTGTATGCTTTGACTTTTTTGGGTATCATGATACTAAACACATTTAGCGAGATTTTCACTCTGTTGAGATTGTCCTTTGTAGTGTGTTTCTTTCTTTGACTTCTAAATCATTTTCCCATTTTGTAGCTAACTGTGAAGATTCTGTTTGTCATTTAGTGGTCATATGAACTGCCCAGCAGAGTTTATATGATCACACATTTATCATCAAGATGTGGGACGTGAAGAGAGTGACAATCTACAAAGGATAATTTTCTCTTTCAGGTTTCTTCCACGCAGAATACTTTGCATAACTCCAGTCACGTAAATTGTGAGGATTATCACAATCAATTAATTTGGCTTTAAAATTGGTAGAAGCCATGGCAGTTAAAACAGCCTTTCCTATCATATGTAAACAAAAGGATCACATGGCTAGTTTTAAGCATTTATTTGGTGAACTGAATAATGCAGCAAGAGATAGTTTGATTAAGATGTGTATTTCAATGTATAGGTTTCATGTTTTGAGCTGCATTATGTGTTGCTGTCTTCTTCTTCTCTTCCACCTTGTACCTCATCAAAGTGTCGGGGGAGATGTAACATTCGTTGAATTGCTCTGTCAAGAGCACTATTAAGACTGATGTTCATTTTTTGTAACTCTGTTCTTAATGCCATCACTCCATATTTTCTGAGTTCTTCCACTTGCTCTATACCTGTTGTAACATTTTAGCGTGGCTCGCTGTGGCCGATAGCACCAGAGCATTTTTGTTACAAAACCACTTCATTTGCTGTTCTTTGATGACCTGTAAGACTGGCTTTTTTCCTAGCATTCATTTGAATTCGTATTCTGTCTTTCCTTGAAACACCTGCAGCTCTTCTTAGGCATTTCATCTCTTGTCACAATTTTACATTCATTGGAGGATGTAAGTGTCCACGTTTGACACTGATAGCATAGTGTTGGCCAAAAAATAGTTCTGATAAGATTCACTTTAGTACTCCGGGGTATCTGCTTGTGTGTCAACAGGGGAGATAGTTGCCCCATTACTTGATTAGCTTTAGCACATCTTGAGCTAATTTCTCTGTCCAGTTTTCCGTTTGGATGTGAAAATTGCTTCAAAATACTTAAATTCCTCAAATTTGTCTTAAGGTGCTGTTTTTTAATTTTTTTTCTAAATTGTCTTTATGTCTTCCTATCACCATTGTCTCTGTCTTCGTAGGGTTTATTTTCATATTATATTCCTCCCCTTTGTTATAATACTTCTAATGAGGTACAGTGAAATATGTCAGTATATTGTTTGCGTCCACATTTAAATTCACAATAGGAATATACTGTTTTGAATCCACATATAGTGTTGTGGTATATAACTGAACTATATGTTGTGCCATTCGTATGCAGAAGTGTTAAATAACTGAATCATCTACCTGAATGATTTTTAATCAAGGACCTTAAAGAGTACCATTCATTCACCTGAGCACAGTTTTGAAATTGTCGATCTTTGCCACTGCGTGCTCGAAAGAGAGGATATGAGTAGACCACGAGGCAGACCAAGAAGATAGTGGATTGATAATACATGGGATGCCTACAAACACTTGGAGTCAACACTGACTACATCCTTAAGTGACAGAATGCAATTCTGGCGGTCACTATTGGGGCTGGCTTAAGCATTTACTATATTTGCAGTGATTCTGGATTTTTGTGGGACTCCAGATACTCTTCTTCTTCTTCTTTTTCTTACTCATCCTCTTCCTCCTCCATTTCTTTGCCATAAATCCCCTTTAAAAAAAGTGGGTGGCATATTATGTTTTGGTTTATAACTAGGCTACAATATCTGTGCCTTTTGGTCCAACACATCCAATTTAAACAAATCCTTAATTAGTCACTGCTTACGGCTTGCTTTTTAGCGGGCCACTTTGTCTTCTTCTCCCCTCTTCCTCCAATAGGGTCCCATAACCCACGTGGGAATCTGAGATGCTCAGTAAGAAGAGTAGTGAGAATCTGGTAATCTTAGTTTCAGATTCATAGCAAACAGGTCACCCCATAGTTGCTCCGCTCCTGTCCCAACTAAAAACACACAGAATGTTTATCACAATAGATATGAGTAGATATGTTATCACGATCCAGGTCATTGCACTCTGGCCATTTCCTTGCATGCTCAGTCTTCTAATACAACTGCCATGTCAAGTACCTCTACCAACTGTTGCAGTACGAAGTCGTAGATTGGTACAGTATGATAATCAAATTAACAGGTATTGATTAAAGCTCGTAGAAGGAAGTATAGAAAGTATATGTCACATATGGCTCGCATTCTATTCCTCCATTGCATTCTATTCTGGGCTATTTCTACGATATCTTGCTATTTCTACGTTTCTTGTCAGTGCCTTCTCTGTCTCAGGGGGAAAGCACCACCAACGAACGTAGGGGTAAAAAAAAAAATCTGCCAGTTTCCATACTCACAAATCGTCACGCTACAAAGAAACTCACAACACCACAACCTTCCACAAACTTTATATACGCCGAACCAAGCCATATCATCACACCCCCGCAACGTAGGAGAGGCCCTGCGACGCGGGAGGCATGAATTAGAAGGGAAGTCACTCTTTTTCTGCGGCGGAAAACGTTAGTTGAACCCCATTTTCTTGAGTTTAACGTATGTCTTGAAGATATCGCATTGATAACGGTTCAGACTTAACTTCAGCGCTAGAGTCGTGACCTATTTTCTCATTAGTGGGTCGAAGCCAGGCTTACAGTGTTGAGCAGTTTTATATTAATTGGCCTTGTTTCCTTGATCACAGCGTCCCTGTGTCTTCCTGCCTCCCAGCCTCTCGTCTTTGTGACATCGATATGGGAGCAAGCGTGTGTAGAAGATAAACATTGACGCACCCCGCCACTGACTTGTCCTTTGTCATTATGTCGTGTGTTGCCAGTCTTGTCGTGACATGTCAATGCACCCCGCGGTGACGCTGTTTTGTTTTTTGCATGGTTGCATCTGAAAATTTCTGACGTTCAACTGTAATCTGTACCGCGCTGCACGCGCGCGCAGGATGCGGTAGGGGCGCTTCACAGCCAAAAGCGAGGCATGCACTTATTGACTACATCAGCGGTCGTCAAACCTGGGGGGGGGGCAATGAGGGTTCGGGAGGGGGGGGGGGCAGGGCCGTTAAACAATTTTGAAAATGCGTGCATTTGTACTTGTAAATAATCCGTCATACTTACATTTTGTTTTAGTTTAATTATAAATAAATATATGGCAAACTACTGGACGTAAATTTGCCTAGAAAAACCACACAACAGCCAGGGGCTGTTGGGGTTGGTTCTGCAACGTCCTGTAAAGGATCCGCTACTAACCTGATGATAAATAAATATTCTTTTAAGCTATTTATTAAAAAAAAACGACAAGGGCATTGTTGTTTTTATTGGCAGTTTGTACACCTACCGTTAAAAATTTATTAATATGATATCAAGCGCGTTTAATTATAGACGAAGAACACATTCTGACCAAAAGGTGTCTGCATACTTTCTGTTTCACTTCTTTCGGAATATTTTGTCCTCCTTTTAATCGTATTTTGTTATGCTAAAGTGTGAGGGGGGGGGGGGGGTGTCATTTACTCAAGTGGGGGGGGGGGGGGCGCTGGATTACACAGAGAGATCATCATTATATAGCAGGTCATTTACAGAACATCGCTGCTATCACAGGCCGCCTGAAAGAGAATCAGTCCCTGATCAGATCTCCCGCAAATGCACATTCATGCTTAGCGTGCCTCCTGGGTCCTGTCCCAACTGCCGTGTTGGTCGGCTTCTGTCTGTCTGTCCCGGTACCCTGACCTCCATTATTGTTCTTTTCAAACTATCGCCACGTTTGATATGGCTAATGTACTTTAGTTTTCTAGATAAAGAGGTTCCGGGTTCAATCCCCGGTAAGTGCTTGGATTTTTTTTTTTTTAAATGGACTTGGACTTCTAGTAATTTCCAGTGGTCTCTGGGTAGTGAGATCGGACGCCCGTGTGAAGCGTGGCGCACGTAAAAAAATCCTTTGGCAGTTGGATATCGAAAATAGTAGCCTAACGGCGCTGCTGGGGCCAAATTTGGAGTTAAAAATC